GGGGGAGGGAGGGAGGTTTCGATAATTGGCCACAATAATCAACCACATAAAAAAATAAAAACAATTTAAAAATCTCCAAGGGAAAAAAAATTAAAAATAAAAGTGTTAATCCATTGTAATAAATAAACAAACTAACTAACTAATTAATTAATTAATTAATTTAAAAGACTAGGTTGCAACCAAGAGAAAAAAAAATTAAAATTTATTTTGATGGAATTTAGCTAAGTATAAAAGGTTTGAAAAGTTATTAAAAATATTAAATTAGACAAAAACAAAAAATTGAAAGAATTTTAAAGGATATTTACTTACCGTTTCATTTTGAAGATGAGTGCATTAAAGATTGCCTGGGGCCATACAGCTGAGGAGATGTAGGGTAAAGGCTAGGTTTCATTCTTTCTTTATTACACCACAATTCTACAAAAAATAAAAATAAGAGACTGATTGACCAAACCTGAGTCCATATCAGCTAGGGAAATTGGAATATTTTGCTGTGATTCACCAGTGAGTCCTTCAGTCCATGAAAATCTTATCATGTTCCACTTGGCCGAGGAAATTAAAAAAAAAAAAAAAAAAAGGAATTTGGCTTTTCTATTTTGCATACTTCCATGTGAAAATTTTACAACAAACAAGCACGTGGGTATTTTTTAATTTTTTAATTAAAATTTTTAATTTCAAAATAATGAAGAGACAGGAACAATATAAATTCAAACCGCAAGATATCTGTGTCACATTTCCTGGAATATTTTGTAGCCTTCATTTTGTGGCTCCACCTCCAGGGGCACTTTCGAATGATCAAGGTCATGGGAAAAAGCCTAGTCAGTGGATTTCCTTCCTCACAGGGCCGGCTTAGTTTCATCGTGGAGTGCTTTGTCCTCATCCAGCAATACGATTTATTGTCAGCCTCTCCCTGGGATGCAATATGTGGTTCGCAGTTTCAAAAGAATTAGAGGAGAAAAATGGTGTTAGCATTATAGTAGCAAAGATAAGGCAGTTCTTTGGATTTAGCCTGTTCTTGCCAGGGAGCTCAGAGAACCTAAGGAGGAACAATTACATATTAAACTCAGCATAAAACACCTGAATTCTGGGAAATGACTAAAGTGTGTTGGTGACCAAAACTTCTGGAAAACTAGTTCTGCCAATTCAGAAAATGTTACTAACTTCTGGGCCGGCCCGGTGGCGCACTGGATAGTGCGCCGCTTGGGAAGCGCGGCGGCGCTCCCGTCCGAGGGTTCGGATCCCACATACGGACCGGCTCCTGCTCACTGGCTGAGTGAGGCGCGGGGGCAACACCGAGGCTTGCAATCCCGTTGCCGGTCCCCGGCCCGGTACGGGGGCAACACTGAGGGTTGTGATCCGTTGCCGGACACGGAAAAAAGACAAAAGACAAAAAAAAAAAAAAAAAAAGAAAATGTTACTAACTTCTGGGCCGGCCCGGTGGCGCACTGGATAGTGCGCCGCTTGGGAAGCGCGGCGGCGCTCCCGTCCGAGGGTTCGGATCCCACATACGGACCGGCTCCTGCTCACTGGCTGAGTGAGGCGCGGGGGCAACACCGAGGCTTGCAATCCCGTTGCCGGTCCCCGGCCCGGTACGGGGGCAACACTGAGGGTTGTGATCCGTTGCCGGACACGGAAAAAAGACAAAAGACAAAAAAAAAAAAAAAAAAAGAAAATGTTACTAACTTCTGGGCCGGCCCGGTGGCGCACTGGATAGTGCGCCGCTTGGGAAGCGCGGCGGCGCTCCCGTCCGAGGGTTCGGATCCCACATACGGACCGGCTCCTGCTCACTGGCTGAGTGAGGCGCGGGGGCAACACCGAGGCTTGCAATCCCGTTGCCGGTCCCCGGCCCGGTACGGGGGCAACACTGAGGGTTGTGATCCGTTGCCGGACACGGAAAAAAGACAAAAGACAAAAAAAAAAAAAAAAAAAGAAAATGTTACTAACTTCTGGGCCGGCCCGGTGGCGCACTGGATAGTGCGCCGCTTGGGAAGCGCGGCGGCGCTCCCGTCCGAGGGTTCGGATCCCACATACGGACCGGCTCCTGCTCACTGGCTGAGTGAGGCGCGGGGGCAACACCGAGGCTTGCAATCCCGTTGCCGGTCCCCGGCCCGGTACGGGGGCAACACTGAGGGTTGTGATCCGTTGCCGGACACGGAAAAAAGACAAAAGACAAAAAAAAAAAAAAAAAAAAAAAAAAAAAAAAAAAAAAAAAAAAAAAAGAAAATGTTACTAACTTCATAAAGTAATGGTAGAGATCTATAGACAGTTGAAGTTAAATCGCCAAGGTCAGAAAGGATTACATTTGAGAGTTTTAGGAGATTATGAAATGACTGTTACCCTAATGATTTGAAAGTTCCATTTTTACTAAAGTATTAATTACTTACCTATATGGCTTTAAAAACTAATATCCTACACGACCAGCGCCTCGGGGCCCTGCCTGGGGTCCTGGGGCATTGAGCTGGGGACTGGACCCCCCACACATCCAGGCACACCACCGGTGCCAAGGAGCATGCCAAAAACATCACCTCCATGTGGGTGGCCCACCACAGTAACCACAGCTGCTGTGAAAGTAGCTAGACGTCACAACCACCAGGCAGATGGTCCACCAGCCACTGGAGTGCATTGTCGCAAGGAGAGTCACCAACAGAGACAAAAGAAAAGAAGAGAATGTCTCTCTCCACAAAGCCCATTCTAAAGTGACAGAAGAAGCATCTGCTCTATGATAATATTGGGGGACCTGAACACACCTCTCAGCATTGGACAGATCATCTAGGCAACAAATCAACAGAGTAAACACTACTCTTTCAGAGGGAGAGAAGAAATCTAGGGTTATCGGTGGTGGGAGGGGGGAGGGAGAGGGGGATAGGGAGAGATTGGACAAGGGCCATAAACAAAAGGTATAATTTGTAACAATATACATACTAGTAATATTGATTTGATCGACATATGTCAACATTGAATCCCAAAAATATGTATGATTAATTATGATTCAATAAAAAAATAAAAAATAATATCCTAGGCAACAAAGGGTTAGAGCTCTTGGTTGGGCATATTCTGAATTTGATGAGGTAAGTAGAGCATTGCATTGGAGTGGAGGTGTTGCATTCTTTTTGATATTTTCTCTAATTGTTTTGACCTCTAAATTTTAAGTGTACAGTGATAGGAAATTAGCAGCAGAGATTGCCTTCTTTTCCGTTACCAGGTTAATTAGAAACCTACCTGCTCCGAAATGTCTACAACAGACAGTGGCCTTTTATTGAAATATATTCAAATTACAAAATGCTTTTTGTAATGCAAGCCTAAAAAATATTAATTTCTACTCATGTAGTACTCAGTGAAGTGAAAAAAAAAGTCCTTTAATGTTTTAATAAAAATCTTGATATAAGGTTATGATTCATTTCATAACTTTAAGAACTGGTTTTTGTTACTGCATTGTAGTCTGAATTATCTAAAATATTAAGAGCTACTATTATCTTCCAGAGACTTCTGCTTCTCAAACCCATGCTCTATGATATATGCACATTAGTAATGACCACACAACTATAAGCTGAGCATTTTGTGACATCTCTTTGGGAGGGTGGGCAATGACCTTACATGCTTTATTATTTTCTACTGAGTGTTAGAAAGACATGAGAATTCTTATTTCAGAACCATGTGTGATAGCCAGCACCCAAGATGGCCTCTAGCGATCCCTGCCTCCTGGTATCGTCCTCCCACAGTGTACCGGGGTTGGTTTGTGTGAGCTTAACAAGAGTGATGGTATGTCACTTCCAAAATAAAGCTATCAACAACTAGGACTTCCATTTTGGGCTCTCTCTTGGAACAGCACTCTGGGGGAAGCTGAGCTGTGTCATAAGCAGCGCTATGGAAAGACCCACATGACAAGGAACAAAAGCCTCCTGCAAACAACTATAGGAGTGAGATTGGAAGTGGATCTTCCAGCTACAGACAACAGCTGAGACTCCCTGAGCCAGAAGCACCCAGCAAAGTCACTCCCAGATTCCTTACCCTCAGAAATTGTGACATAATATTTGTTGTTTTAAGCAGTTAAGTTTTGGGGTGATTTGTTACAGAGCAATAGCTAATACACTATACTTTCCCATAGTTTGTTTTTCCCTCTGTATGCAGAATGTGAAAGACTGCCCGCACAGAGGACTTCTGCTTAGAAGCCACAGAAGAAAAGGGGGACTCTCTCAGAGTTCCACTACTGTTGTGCCTGTCTTATCTAAGAGCTGATGTCTTCAGAACCTTTCAGATAGTGATTTTTTTTTGCATTTGAAATCTTTATCAAAAGCAAGGTTTAAGCACTTCTAAGCACACACATTGGGGTTCCCCAGTAACCACTCTGGAACTTCGTGCGTCCTCCAGGGGCAAGGGTAAGGGGAAATTTGGGGTCAAATCCTCAAAGACTGCCTCTGCAGTAGTGGTAATGGCCTCACTCCACAGCTCCACCCTTCCCTTTTCCCTCTTCTCATGCTCCCTGGATTAAGAAAAGTTAGTGGCACCCACAGGATTCCTAAGGGGATACTCTGGGCTATTGCTGTTGACCACTGACCCTCACCCCCCAACCCTGGCTAGCATTCAACCCAGGGTGGTAGGTTAACCAGTTTTACAAACTACCATTTCCCCCATTTTTAAGAATAAGAAAAGGAGGAAAAAATTATGATTTTGTCGTTTTTACTTTGTGTTTACTTAGAATCCAGGGTTGACAGTAACCATCCTGGGAGTTGTTTATCCCGTCTCCATGGTAGATTCTATTATTGCTCTTGGTCAGCAAGTGATTCTAAGTTCTCTTAATAAGTACTCCTTAAAAATCTGAACTGGATCTCACTACATTAATTTAAACCTACTTTGAAACATTTCCCTCAGTAGAAATAGCCCCGGATTTTTCTTAGTGAAGAGATGTGTGATTGTACGAAGTTTAAAAAGTCATGTGCAATACTAAGCACCCTTATTTGCCCTGAACACCCCAAACAAATAACAAAAACATGTTCCCAAAAGAGCTTAAAAAACAACAAAAAGTTATGAGGTATTGGATAATTAGAAGTATTTTTCATTCAAAGACTTCCTCCCCCATATAAACTAATCCTCAAGTCACAGTTTCCATGAAGAGCAAGACCAGCTAATCTACCCTCACTTTCTAAAAAACATTTACAGTTCACAAAACAGGCAACACTCAACAGCTTCAGTGTGGTGCTATTTTCTATTTTTTTTTATTAATAAAGCTGCAGGTTTAAATCAGAGTCGCACCGTTTCAGAGTCAAAACCAAAGTCTCATTGGTCTTTTTTCATCGTTTGCAACCTGCAAAGATTTGATCAAGCCCTATCGGCCATTCAAAAGATCCCCGGTGCAGTGAGCGGGGGGGCTGGCGTCCTCCTGCTTGGAGAGGGTAGTCGGAGGGTCGTAGGCTTCGGCAGGGGGGGCCGCCTCCGTGCCGCCGCCATAGTGATGGCATAGGTAGCGGCCCGCCTGTATACTCTGCGCCACCACGTTGGTGCCGTGGCACGCCATCAGCAGCAAGTTTCGAGGCTGGACGCGGTAGGCAAAGCGCATGAAGGCCATCGAGTAGAAGATGAGCGCTGTCGTCATGCGACCACTGATGATGTCCGGTGATGCTTTCATGTCCTTAATGGCGGCCACCGGAAGACCCCAGTTGGCAACAGGACCCCAGAAGTGCGTGCTGGTCAGGTATTCCCGGAACTCCTTGGTCTTCACATAGTCTCTCGTCCTTCGCCAAAGTGCTACCACGCTGGCCATGATCGCCAAGCGGCAGGAGCGCCAGCGGACGAATGGCCAAATCCACGACGACTGGGACCCTAGAGTTCCAAACCCGTAGCCTCCTCTGTCCCAGCCTCGAGCCTTCGCATGACTGCCGTAAAGTGCGTCGGGCAGCACGTGCAGCTGTCGTCTGTGCCTGTGGGGGCTGGGGGTGTGGCCTCGCTCTCAGCTTGGCGTGACTGCCGTAAAGGGCATAGAGTGAGCATGCGTACATGTTTGCCTGTGTGTGTAAGCGGGCACGTGTGTGTCTGTCCATCTGGCAGAGGCGGAACCACATCCTGCCCCTCATCCTCACTGTGCTGTGGCCATCTCGTAGCACTCAGAGCTCCACGTGCCACCCAGGGAGGTGAGGGTCCCACAGCCTGCTTCTCCTGAGCTGCACAGGGGGCAACTTTGCCTGTTCTGTCTAGTCTATGGACATGTTGACTAGATGTTGACACAGAATTCCTCAACCAGGTACAGAATTTTAGTCCTTCCACAATTCTCCTGAGTGTTACTTGAAGACTTAGTAACATTTCACCCCTACATATCTTAGCATCAATCCCTTAAGAACAAGGGCATTCTCCTGCTTAACCACAATAATCCACTTAGATAATTAATATTTAGTACAGCATTATTATCTAATATGCAGTGCATTTTTAAATTTTATAACTCCATGGCTGCTTTTTTCTTTCTTGTTGGAGGGGAGAGATCCAATCAAAGAGCACATTTAGTTAACTCCCTAGATTAATCTCCGTTAATCTGGAAGAGTTCACCAGCTTTTTTTGTCTTTTGTGACATTGACATTTTTGAATAATCCAAGCCAATGGTTTTTCAGAATGTCCTTAATTTGGGTTTGTTTGACTGTTTCCTCACAATTACGTTTAAGTTAAACATTTTTTTGGCAAAACAACTACACAGGTGATGTTGTGTCCCTAGTGCATCACAGTGGAAGGCACATGAGGTCACTTTGTTCCATCATTGGTGATGTTAAGTTTGATCACTTGGTTAAGGAGTTGTCTTCCAGGTTTCTCCATTTTAAAGGTACCTTTCCCCTTCTCTAACCAACAAATAATCCAGGGGAAGTCGCTTCCAAATTGTGCGGGTATTTTATCCTCCAACATCCTTTCACCTAAAAGTTTTAATATCCATTGATGAAAATTCTTTAATGACGAAACCGGTGATTACTTTCCTAGTGTTTTCTACTTTTTCCAATAAAAATAGCAATTGTGGAAAAGTAATTGAATATGCATTGAAATACTAATACTTCATGTAGTGATTTACACAATCCCATTGTACCTTTAAAAATTAATATTTATTATCTGTGTTCATTTAATCCCAAATATTTTGCAAATATAGCTTTAAAATATAGTCATGCATCACATAACTTTTCGGTCAACGAGGGACCACATATATGATGGTGGTCCCATAAGATTATAATGGCTATACCATATAGCTTAGGCGACTAGTAGGCTATGCTACCTAGATTTGTGTAAGTGCACTCTATGATGTTCACACAACGACAAAATCACCTAACCATGCATTTCTCAGAACATATCCCCGTCATTAAGTGATACATGACTGTATATAGCCATTGTTGAAAAGGAAAGTGGCATAATTTTTAGATAATCTTTTTAAAATGCTGGGTTTCCAAATATGGATGACTGGTATACTGGTGTAAATAAGTTCTGTATAAGTTTGAATTAGTAAATCAGCAAGCACTGGCCAGCTGCCCCCCCAAAATAAAAATAAACAAATAAAAATAAATAAAATATCTGTATAAAAGTAAATAAATTAGCAACCATGTATTGAATGGCATTTTAGGCTTACACTGCCAGATGCTCCAACATTTTAAAAGAAATATAAGCTACCACTCCTTGTCCACAAGGAGATTTGAGTATTTGTAGATCATCCCACATAGGTTGTTACTTGGTTTTGATTACCTATTGCTGTGTGACAAATCACCCCAAAATTTAGTGGCTTAGAACAACAACAATCCATTATTTTACTCACAAATTTGCAATTGGTGCAGGACTCAATGGGGAAAGTTCATCTGCTCCATGCATTACCAGCTGGGGTGGTTCAGCTTGAGGATGGAGATTTCACTTTCAATGTGGCTCCCTCACATGGCTGGCAAGCTGATGCTGGTTGTTGGCTAGGAGCTCAACTGGGGCTGTTGGCCTGCGGGACCTCAGTTTCTCTCCACATGAGCCACTCCACAGGCTGCTTGGGCTTCCCTCACAGCATGGTGGCTAAGTTCCAAGAGCAAGTGTAAAAAGAGAATCAAGCAGAAGCATTTGTTTCAAGCCACTGCATTTGTGGTAATTTGTACACAGCAATAGAAAACTAATACAAGCTACATTGGTTTTTATAGACCTAGCCTCAAAAGTCACACAACATCACTTTCTCTATAGCCACAAGCCCACCCAAATTCACTGGGAGGGGACATAGACTCACCTCTCAAAGGCAGAAGTATCAAAGTCACACTTCTAGGAGAGCTTATAAGATGGGAAATATTGTTGTGGCCACCTTTGGAAAATACAATCTACCATATTGCTTAACTTGAAATCACATAATTATAGAACTTTGGAGTTAAAAGGATCTCACATATTATCTGTAAAATGAGGATGATAGTGGTACCTACCTCACAGCAGTATTGTCAGGTCTCAATGTGTTAATTCATGGGATGTGCTTACTATAGGGCCTGGTATATAGTTAGTGCTCAGTGAATTTTAGCTGTTATCATTATTGTCATACAATCCAACCCCCTTATTTTAGAAAGACGGCATGAGGCCTTAAGAGATTATGTCATTTGCCGTGGTGACACAGGATTAAGGTTTCCTGTTTCTCACATCAATCCTCTCTACAAATCACTGTAATTTATGATGTGTTTTTGTCTTTCCAACTATGTTGTAAGTTCCTTTAGGCCAGGGAACAAATCACCAAATGAAATATTCCTTCTCCCCACAAGCTTTTCTTATGCATTGACTGGATGTGGCCCAAAGTGAACAAGACAGAGTGTGACTGTTCGGAGGGGCATTTTACAGCTAGGGAATGGAGGTATAGACAATGTGTAAGGGACTTTCTTGGTAGATGCAGGGCTATACGTAGCTTTTGTACAAGATTTTTGCCTGGTAGATACTTGTTGGTTGTTACAGTCTCAGTGATTGGGCCAGCCCCATGCTAGAAATGGAGTGTAAGACGTTATAATGGAACTTGGCCAGCAGTTGAAAGGAGACATAGAAGTAAAAGAGTCTCCAAGGTAGATTGAGAACGATACAGGGCTAGGAATGAGCAAAGCTGTAGAGAATTTTACCTGAGGCAAAGGTGGTGACAAAACAATTTTAGGACTAGAGAACATCAGTAATGCTGTCCTGTGATCACCCCTCCCCACAGGTAAATTAGTGCTGCTGTATATTTCACCGTGTTTTAATAGATAAGACTAAACAGCTAAAGGTTTATCGTTATTTTGAAAGATATTTCTTTACCATTAATATTATTGAAAGTGGCATTTCTACTCTTTATGCTGCTTCTCAAACATAAAGCTGTCAGGGCCTACTGTGTGACTCGACCAACAGACACTAACATGAACATGGCTGGCAAGTTCACTATCATCTTTCAAAGGAAAATGATGAGAGAGGATAAGTAAATGCAAAGATAGATTCATACCTTTCCTACCTTGCCCCGGTCTTGAAAAGGTGCCATTGCACACTTTCTTCTGACCACGGTTCTTGGTGACAGGCCCTATGAAACTCTGCTTGATGTGAACAACCCTGGACTTACACAACTCTTTGGTGAATCCCAGTGCAGTGAACCAGATGTTGAATCTGTTTAATTGTTCTTTTTAACTTTTTATTTTGAAATAATTTGTAACTCACAGAATAGAGTAGTCTAAAACAGGAATAACAAAGCAAGAAATGTCAAAAAAAGCTCCCATATGCCCTTCGCTAGATTTACCAACTGGTGACATTTTGCCACATTCGCTTTACTTTTCTGTCTACCCAAAGGGTATTTCTCAAGAACTTCAGTGTGTATTTCCTAACCATGTAGACACTCACGGGCTTTCTTTTATGTTACCACAATACACCCATCGAAATCAAGACATTTAACATTGATGTGATACTGTAACCTACAATCCATATTCAAATCTTGCCAATTGTCCCAACAATGTCCTGTATAACAATTTTGTTTTTCTAGTCCAGGATCTAGACTGGGATTACACATGGCATTTAATTGTAATGTCTCTTTAGCCTCTTTTAATCTAGAAACAGTTCCTTTGCCTTTCTTTGGCATTCATGACCTTGACATTTTAGGAGTTCAAGCCTGTTATTAGATAGAATGTCCCTCAGTTTGGGTTTATTTGATGTTTCCTCGTGACTTTGTTTTTTTTTTTTTTTTTTTGGCAGCTGGCCGGTAAGGGGATCCAAACCATTGACTTTGGTGTTATCAGCACCACGCTCTTACCAAGTGAGCTAACCAGCCAGCCCTCATGACTACTTCTGTGGTCTGAATGTGTGTCTGTTTCCCCCACCCCAAATTCATATGTTAGAACTTGACTGCCAAGGCAATAGTCTTAAAAGGTAGAGCATTTTGAGAAGTGATTAAGTCATGAGGGCTCTGTCCTCATGAATGGGATTAGTGCCCTTATAAAAGAGGTTGAAAATAGAACTCTAGTCCCTTTTTTTTTCCCTTTCCAGCCCTTTTGCCATATGAGGACACAGCAAGAAGCCATCTTGGAAGCAGAGAACCTTCACCAGACGTCAAATGCTGGCACCTGATCTTGGACTTCCTAGCCTCCAGAACTGTGAGCAATAAATTACTGTTTATAAATTACCCAGTCTAAGGTGTTTTTGTTTTTGTTTTTGTTTTTGTTTTTTTGGTGGCTGGCCAGTATGGGGATCTGAACCCATGACCTTGGTGTTATAAGGTAAGGTATTTTGTTATGGCAGCCTGAACAAACAAAGACAGCTACCTTCGGGGTTTTGATTTGGGGCAGGAACAGCACGGAAGTGGTGTGTGTTGGCAATGCATCACATGGGGAGGCATGCATGTCTGTCTGGTCATTAGTGATGGTAAGGTAGTGCTCGCCA